AAAAAGTTTAGCAATAATTAACACCAACTACACTGTGCAAGTTGTAGCAGCAGCCCGGGTTAAATTTTAAATTTCTGTGCCATTTTGAGGTAGAGACCCAGCTCAGTATACCATTTACACAACGGTATTTAATCGAACGCTTTCTGCATTACGGTAGAATATATAACAAATTGGAGGAAATTACAGTGAAGGATACGCAGGTACTACGGAATAGGAAACTCTGGAAACAATCTCTTTCGCCGTCATGTCAACGTGGAAACATCTCCTTAACAGATCGTCCTAGGTAAAAAATTACAGCACTTCACATTGGAACCACATGTTTGCAACAAGCATTCCCTCTTTAAAATACTCGGTATTTTGCCAAATAAACGGGTTCTCCTATGACTCCAGACTTAAGGGACACCCGTATAGTTTACCGTAATATAAATATCAAATCTGTTTTTAATATAAATGTTGTTTAACTTTTCAGGCAAGTTACGAAGGAAAGCCACGCTACATTACCTTACATCACGCAGAATCACTCACTGTATGTGTATCGGGGGTTGTCATATGTGGGGACGCATATACTACAGTTTTCCATTACCACGCACGTGATGTCATTGTACAACCAAGGCACATGTAAGGGACCTTCCAGTCGGCAATATCATCTGCACTCGCAGAGGTTAGCGGTCAGGCCCTCACTCCGGCCGTTTTATAACCAGTGAAAGGTTTTGGAACCCATGGGCTCCAGAGTTGACATGGCGGCGGTACGATAAATCTCTCTCCAACACGAAACAAACCTCAGCTACATTAATATACAAGAAACTCCTTCCGAAAACATAATTTAATAGGATATAGATGCTGACAATTTAACAACGCAGCGGATTTTAACTGTATTTTTAAATTTAAAATAGTTTTATATATGATATTCAAGGACCAACACTTAAATTGCCTTCCGATGTGGTGTCGATTTAATATTATACAGCACGGTATGTTTGGAAAATACGATTCGCCAACTAACTTGTTATTCTGGGTAGATTTTTCTCTACATTATCCACCAGAAGGAGGAAATTTAAATAAAAGTTTTTGGTTCTAGTATCAAATTGCATTTCTTGTATGTACCTTGCCCGTTTTTATCGGACGTCCCTAGTACTTTTTAACCTTCTGTTTATAGTGACACAGCTTCCGTATTAAATTTCCAGGCACTCCTTCAGTCAAATTTGATAATTTTAAGAAAAATATTATCAAAGGTGGGCCTATGCTACATACCACACCAAGAGGTTAACAGATGCTGTTAGATTCTGCTACGGTTTGCACAAAGTCGTTCTGAAGCAGATCATGTCTGAGAATCTGCTTTGTTTTTACTTCTATTCCTGCCTAGTCCAGTCCGTACCACAGATGGAGCTAAATATTTGCAAGGCCTTTGCGGAAACTCGTGACATGCATCCCTATTGTGCATTTCAAATGTAGGGCTACGGCAGGACATTAGCTTCAGCAACATCTGCTCCTGTTATTTATATTACACTCTATGCATCTGATGACTTTCTGTACTGCCGTTTTTTCACCTTGCTGAATCCTTTTCAACGTCCACTCAGTCACGCCTCATTTGTTTCGACAGAAATGGTATTCCGAAGTCACTGAACTTTCATAGAAGTAGAATTTGCCCTAAGTTTTAGCTCTCCCTGTTTCTGCGCCCAAGTTATAATTGCAGTATCGATGCATCAAAAAGGGAGAAGACCATGTACCGTAAGTCAGGGTCAGTTGGACACTTTCAGATTTGAAAAGGAATACACACTTTTGTTCGATAAACCGTGAATCAGACACAAAAAGTTTCGATTTTAGCACTTGAGTTAATTAAACTCTTAAAATGGCACGCAAATGCCCAACAGAACCTCTAGTGGAGACTTTGAAAACAGTGGATGACTAAAGTTACTGGGAAAAGAAATTGGAACAGTGGTGTAGTCAGTTTAATAAACAATAGAGTAGCCTTATGTTGTCGTTACGATGTCGTACTATTTGTTTCTCGACTTATACCCCGATTTTCAGACAAATTTACAAACAAGTCTTCCTTTTTCACCACAAGACTCGTGAGGGCGTCATTAGCAGCAATGAATCCATTAATTTAGTTCTCACAATCCTTCAGCCTTCTATTAGAAATTTTTGATGGCCCAGCAGCCTGGTCACAGCCTGTTATAACTTTATTGGCACGAATCAGCATAAATCTATTTTCCACGAATTTCAATTTTTCACGATTACGTTAGAATGAAACCAAAACTATTACTCTGTCAGATTAAGACGTGCATTTCATAAACTTCACTTTTTCAAATCTGAAGATCTCTTTATATCACTGGACACTTGCTGTTATCTCCACTGAATTCTGCGTTTTTCTGCTTAAAGTATTTCGTCGCACAGACAACTCCTTCCCCGCTGTAGATACATTTATTCTACCAGAATTGTGTTCCGTAATGGCATAGTCCCCTTCTCACTACGACGAGGTGCGTCCACAGGTTCCGGGTGGAAGAGACTGTCTACAGATAAGGTGATTTCTTGAGATTATATTCAAATCTGTCGCGGAAAAACAACAAAGACCTGTCCACCAGTTTTAGTGAGTTGGGGGGGAGAGCTAATAACTCCTCACCGTCACCGTTAAAGTCAGCAATTTGTGAAACGCGAAGGTTCTCAGATAAGATCGGTTTATTTGGGAGGACATAAGCAACGAAAAAAGTACGTCAGCTTGGAAACTTAGAATGTCAGGAATCTCTATAGGTCAGTTTCAATTAAAACAGGAGAAAGAAAATTAGAATGTTAACATAGATATTGGTATTAAAAATCTCCTGAAAGGTTCTGGACTGGATTCAAATGACTCCGGATATGGACATCTTGTGAACACGACAATGTATCTTCGAGTTCCACAAAGGGCGGGGAATGTTGACTAACAGAGCGACTACAGCAGACCTATTAATTTCTCAGGAGCACTCTGTTCCACGGAGGAGGATGGAAAAAACTTGTAGCACAGAGCAAAGCAGAGCCAGGAAGAAGTCAGCTGCCGCCGGTCTCTTGCCAGCATGGTCATTCTTGGTATCGAGTGCTCATGATCATATTTTTATCCTTTGATGTTGCCCTCTGCTGTTCAAATCGTCACAGGACCTCGCTAACAAGACCAGTGTTTGGTCATGTCGGGTGTGTGCATACTGTTCTTCATATAAACACAAAAGCAAGCCCGCTGCATTTCTAGAGTGCCCAGGAACAATTTAGGCTAGTTACAGCGGTCCTCTGTCACACCACATTTGTACAGGAGGTCCCGTCTACATTTACCAAAGTGTAACATTCTCAGTGGTGTAAATTCATAATAAAATACAACACATATCCTAAGGATATATGGTATAAGGGGCTGAGGTGAGGTGACACCTCAGTGTACAGTACAAGAGAGAGCTTTTGTGAATACGATGATGAATGCTTGGAATCCGTAAAGACAGGAACGTTTTCCATATCAAAACAAGGAAAACCTTGCACCATACAGTTAGTTTGACCCGACACTGCGCAGAAATGGTATGAAACGAGTTCCATTAGAAGAAATCTATCGGGATATCGACCTGAACTAACCAAACAGGTATTTCGCAGCTACTTATGTTGGCAAGAGTTCCCGGATAGCTGTCCGTCTGTAGCGCAGCTCCCCATGCCTGTCAATCCAACGCCCGAAGGCGCCAACCTAATAGTTTGTATTTTAATACTAGCCATGTGCGAGCCAGACAGCATAATAAAACATTTATTAGTGAACGGATGGTATGAAAATAACAGTTTGGTGCAGCTTTGGGTGGGCAATTATACAGTTCTGCCTCGTCCATCCCACCCGAGTACCACCATACTACCACGAAAACTTTCATAGCAAGTTTTATTGCCAATAAATTTTCAACGTGTAGTGTGTCCAAGACTGCCATTAACGTCCATTATAATCGGAACTAACCACATATTCATTACATCCCAATAAAAGAAACACATCTGTTAATTTTGTAGCCCACTAATCCAACAAGTTTTAATTCCTTTCTTTTCTAAATGCCTAGCCTTTGGTCGCTTCAGGATGCAATGTATACGCCTACAGATATTATCAAGACGGAAGTAACCTGTGGATGGTTCAGTGTGTGAACTGTGCGACAATGTTCAGACCAAAGAGAAACGAAGTACGTAGTAGGACATCACAAACTAAGGGCTTCGTGGTTTAGGCCCAAATAAGTCGCCCAGAAGAAGATGACTGCCTTCTGGGTTGTAGCACCGTGTAGTCTCAAAGAAGTTTACCCGTTTCAGAGGTCCTTGCTGCCTCCATCATCAGGACGTGCAGATGATGGAGGCAGCAAGGACTTCTGTCGGTAGACGTCCAGACTTCGCGATGCTACAACCCAGAAGACAATCTTCGTACTCACCGCCGTGAGAACCACAGATCCCACAAAGAAGTTTACCCGTTTCAGAGGTCCTTGCTGCCTCCATCATCAGGACGTGCAGATGATGGAGGCAGCAAGGACTTCTGTCGGTAGACGTCCAGACTTCGCGATGCTACAACCCAGAAGACAATCTTCGTACTCACCGCCGTGAGAACCACAGATCCCACAACATCTCCTTGAACTGTTAGAACAGTGAAAGAAAAGGGGCCATGATGAGCTGAGCATGTGACTGCGATGGCGGAGACAAAGCAATACACAGACAACATAATTTTGGTTTTAAGTCTCTTGGTAAACGTCCACTTGGACGATTAAGATTAAATAATGATGAAATATTTAATCAGGTCAGCAACACATCTTGGAATAAATCACAAAATGTGTTGCTTAATCATAACTGATAACATACCGGTTCTTTAAAATTAGTTTTAATATCATCCTCTTGTAAACTCGTCGTTCAGAACATACGTTCGTTTTCTAGGAGTTTCAACAATGAAAATGGACG